TTTAGGAGCTCTATGCTTATGTTCTGTCAGCTTCACAACCCCAGCAAAGAGAGCTTCTGCTTCCCCCAAAGCTCCAGCAGGAGTCCTGAGGTTGACTGTCATTAGTTTGTCCCCAAACCAGTCACTTTAGCCGTTGGGACTCAGAGAGTTGGCCAGGCCTGGGTCGAGTGTTGAGCCCTGATGGTGGGGACAGGGGTAGGTGGGAGGGTGGAGTCAACCCCTTTAAGTCACATGGACTGAGAGTGGGGAAGGAGTGGGTCCCCAAGGAAAAAGAGAGGGTCTATTATCTAGAAACACAACCTGTCCTCCACCTACCATTCTCAGGAAGAGACTAGAACTTGGTCTCTTGGTACATCTGAGACCAGGTGAATGCGGGTGGAAGCACCCCACCCAGAGGGGCCCATCAGTCTGCAGGCTCCTTAGCTAGCCACATGGTGCCACGCATAAATGGTGGTTCTGTGCGCTGACCTTGAACTACTGGGCAAGGTCCCCCAACCTGCTGCCCACCCAGGGGTACCGTTCAGACCAACCCTCCCCACAGAGTTCTCGGGAATACGACAGAGAAGGGAGGTGAGTGAGTGTGTGGCCTCTGCCCCAGGGGAGGTTGGGGTGCACAGCCAGATCCTCCCATAGTCTTGGGGGCCCCACCTTCCAAAAGGAAATGAACACGCCAAGACGCCTTCAGCTGGAAGCGCACAACCAGTTTTTTAATAAAGTCATTACAAACACGTACGAAGCGTCTCCGAGGTATGAAATCCTCTTACAAAAGAGCACAATGAACCAGCCAGGTGAGAACCGAGAAGGAGATGTCCCCACGCTTATTGCCTCTCGGGCTGAGCCAGAGGCCTCGCCGAGGTTCCCGACACCCCACAGCCATCCCTTTCACGCACACAGGCTCCTGGGCGCTTATAGTGCAAAAGACCTTGGGGGTTCGGGTGGGGGAGGGGACAGGGAGGAGGTAAGAAAAGCTTCCCACATCCTAGGAAGTAAGTGAACAGGCCCTGTCTGCAAATTAGATGCTCCTCCCAGGGACCTTACAGAAACCAGGAACACAAAGGGCAGGGAACAAATCCGTTAAATCTCCAACTAAACCAGTCTGCCCTGGAGTGTCCCCAGATGCCACACTCCTTACAGTGGACCCAAGTCAGGCCCCCTGCTCCCTGCCAGGCCCCAGGCATGTGTTTGCCCTTGAACTAGCAATGCCATGGGACCAGCTCAGGAAGGAATCCGGTGCAGCAAAGCAGTCAGCTCATGGGCTTGGGGGGTCACGCAGACCTGGGTCCAAATCTTGACTCAGCCACTTCACTCTCTGTGTGGCCTCCGGCTAAGTTGCATAACCTCTCTGAGCCTTAGCTTCCTCAACTGTAAAATGGAAATAACAGTACTGACTTCCAGAGTGGGCGCGAGGAATAACTGAGGGGGACCCTGTCAAGCTCAGGAGAGGGGAGCGCTCCATCACTGGTGGCTGTCATTACTGTGAGGCAGCAAGAACCGGTCTTTGCATGCTGGGGACGAGTTGAGATCGCAGGCTTTTTAATCACCTTCATGAGAGTGGGGCACTCAGTAAATATAATACTACAGAATAATCTGCTAGCAAGGCTTGGGGTCATAGCGATGACCTGACTGACGAATCTGTTCAAGACTGTGGACCAGACTGGAAAGGGACGTTTAGCATCGTCTGGTTCAAGAAGGGCTGCTCCTCCACAATAGATCTGCTAAGATACTTCCCAGATGGGATTCTACAAACTGGCACATTGTAAGTGCTCAATAAATAAGTACTGAATGAATGAATCAGAATTTAAAAGTGAAACTTTCAGTTTAAGCTTTAAAATGACACTTTTGTCATCAACTTCTTCCCTCCATCAGCTCCCGTGGGACTAGGCCAGGGTGTCTAGCCTGTCCCCCCGACCCCCCAGCTAGCTTCTGACCCTCTGATTGGCCCAGGTGTACTTATGAGGACATTCAGAAAAGGAATTGGTATCAACATAGAAGAACAAAACTTGTGTTATGGTCACTGCAGCTTCTAACACCAGGTGGACTCTCAAAAAGTCCACAATGGCAAGCCAGTGTCCCCCCAAAAAACTTGAGTATCAAAGGAGGATCCCCCCCTCCAATTTCCCAGTGAGGGGAAGTGATATTCTGTCACTGTCAGAAACGTGATAATAGACCAGTGACATAAACTGTGGAACCAAAGTCACAGCTCCATTGTCCTGTGACAGGATTGTTTAAATCACCGTTTTTTCATCAAAATAGAAAATAATAAAAAAATGAGACCCCTGGAAAAAGTGGAAAAGAAGTCTCCAGTATCCCAATGAAAGAGTTAAAAAATGAGAATTGGGTTCTAGAAGACTTCCATGGCCCAGGACCGTGGACAGCGGCCAGAGAGGCAAACGGGCTCCCCCCAAAGAAACCTGTTACTCAAGCTCCATCTGTGCCAAAGGGAATATGAAATGGAACTCTAAATTTGAAAAGGGGAAAAGAGACCTTATTTTCTTGTGGGGATGGGGTAGGGGAGAGAAGCTGCCAGAAGGGAATGGATCTAATTTGGAATGTTGAAGTCCCAAGAGACTCCAATCCCTGTGACTCCTGGAGCCCCCCACCCCCACCCTCTGAGAGCAACCAGCACCATCAGGAAGGAGGAGGCTGTTCCCTTTGCTCCTCGCCTCATTATGCAGCAAGCTACCTAAACGATGATCTCAGAGGCCTCCCCCTGCTTTGCACGGGGACACACACACACACACACACACACTGCTGTCTGCTGAAACCCGATATGAGGTCTTTTTTAAAATTTATTTCAAAGCCTCCCTCCCTCTCTCTCTCTCTTCACAGACGCTCTGCGGTGAAGCTAATCAAAATCAATGACTCCTTGGCAGCCAGAGAAAATGGGGGAAGAAAGGGAGGGACGGTGCCAGCACTTTGCACACGGTGGAAATATTTTTTTTAAAAAAGCCACCTCACTATCTCATGCAATCCAAGTAATGCAACAGGAGAGACGGTGGGAACAATATATACATATATCTCATGCTTCAATTTCCTAATACAAATGTCCATCAAGAAGTCAAATCTCATATAAAAACAAGCATTAAAAACAAGCCCTTGTCAAAAATCGGGGCAGTCGAGAAATGCACTCAAATTAATGATGTGCAAGAAAAAGCCAGGATTAGATAAATACATGGTTTCCATTAATACAAGAGAATATGTACAAGGGACTTGGCTGTAAAGCTCCACGAGGAGGTCACGGGTGCCCAGTTCTCTCAGCGATGTGGCTTCATTGAAATCAAAATTGCCCGAAACGCCAACCCTAGCATTTGGAGTTTGGATCCTCCAGCGGAAATGTCCTAAGCTAGTCAGGGTTGAAAAAGGGATTCTCTGACCTTTCACCTTTCCCCTGTGTCTAGGTGGTCAGTGTGTTCTCACCGCAGTCTGGAAGGTACAGCCTTAAAGCAGCAGAAAGCTGTGATTGCATATAACTACAGTAAGGAAAATCCCCTCCCCCAAAATGGGGTGAGCTGGAAAGACTCTAGTGTCTGGCTGGGAAAGTCACTAAACATAAGCAGAGACTGGATGTCATATCATCCTAATTAATGTGCCTTCTCTAAGTTCACGGCTTGGTGGGGATGTCACCTGTGCTCTCTGCAGACCCTGCCTACACACCGATCCCCTGTAAACATAACTCTGGGGAGGGCTCCAGTAATGAAAGGGAACCCGTTCTCCATAAACAAGCTTTCTTTTTCGCTGTGCTGAGTTCCAGGCTGGAGGGGGTGGGGGGCTGCCCTCACCTTCCGCAGTTCTGGGTTGCATTTTTCTTTAAAGGGTTATTTAGGAAAACATAAGGCATGGATAAAAAAGAAAGAAAGACAGCTCCCAGCTTGCAGCAGCATTGAAAGGTCCTGCATTCTAAAGGACCTGGTAATTTTCAGCAAAGCCTATGGGGAATAATTCCCGTGTCAGCCCCAAGTCAACCTTCGCAACGGCTGATCCCTCTGCTGGCTTCTTAGAACTGGAAGGGTGTCTGCTCACCAGCCCACCAGACCCCCTGTCCTTGGGTACTGGATGGTGACCTGCAAATCCAGCCTTGTCGAATGACAGTCTGAACCTGCAGCCTGGCGCCTCACCATCGCAGCTTTGAAAACGGCAGTGTGATACCCCGCACAGAGGAATAATACCTGTTTTTGTTGGATCTTTGAAAATGAAAGCAAAAAATCATCATTGTTCCCTGACGAGTCTTTGCAGCCAAGTCTCAGTCCAGCACACATCTTTTTTTAGCCCTTCTAGAAACTTCTGAAAATAGTAGCTTATCCTGGGAGGGAAAAAAATCAGACCCTCAGTGAGATGCTGGTGCATTTCATTTAAATGACCCACTCCCTCCCGCAACATCCCTTGCTTATTAAATCACCCTTGACCAGAACGTAGCCATTTCTTGGCTCTTTAATCCATAAAACCTAAGCCCTGAAATTCTCTGGGGGGAGTGGGGGAGGCTGTGGGCTGAACTCCCAGGATACTTTGGTGGGGGTGGAGGAGACAGCAGACAAGTCACAAATGAGGTCAGTCTTCCACCTCGTCACCAGCAAGCCACTCAGTGCCGTCCCCTCCCTTCCTCCCTCCCAGACCCCAGGGTTTGCTCCCAAACACCTCTGGATATTGGTCCCCACAGAGAAAGAAAGAGACTCTCAAGTGGCACTTTTGCGACTCATCCCTTTTAAAAAAGCCTCCAAAACAGCAAAATAGAAATCTCTCTTGTCCCCTGGCCTTGCAGAATACCATGGCAGCACCAGCAAGAACACACTTAGCACCAGCAAGATTTAAGTGAAGCACCAGAGACATCAGATTGGTAGGGGAAAAAAAAAAATCCCACTTGTCCTGATGTGACAGGGGGACTAGCCGTCTATCTAGGTAGGTGTAGAGAGAGAGGCTAGGACTTGTCAAGATTTAGAAATGGAGGTATCCCAGACTGCCCCCACAAAATTGGCCCCAAGTCCTCCTCGCTTTTTTTTTCTTTCTATTTTGCCTTTGGCAATTTTCCCTCTTACTCTGTCAGTATCCCTCCCCAGGCGGTTGGTCGACTCTGAGGCTAATTCCCACCAGTCTTTGCAAATTTTCTAGGTACACAGTAGGCGTCTCTCTTCTGGTGCCCCAGACATGAAAGAATATCAAAGTTCATATCGGAAGGTGCAGAAAAGGGAGGGACCACGTCCTCGACAAGGCATGCACTGAGTAGTAATATTCATATTTTCTTTTTTTTATATATAGAGCTGTATGTAAATAGCATTGGGGTGTCTGTTTCTGCAGCTGGATATCCAAAGGGCTTCCCCAGTCCCATTCCTCCATGCTACTATTGCTCCAGGCGACGTCTTTATTCTCCACTTCCTTCTTGAAGTGCCAACTGCGGCCTTTCAAGCTCTGGGCTCCCCCTCAGGAAAACGGGAACCAGCTTTCTCCAAGGCCACAGGGTTTTCACCAACCTGCAGAAATAAAGATTTGTATTTTGGTCAGTAGGCACGTGCAGACAGCCACTGGGGATGACGTCACCACCTTGGGCCTCTGCACAGCCAGCCCCGTATGTCGGGAGGGGGAGGAGGGGAAGAGCTGCTAGATAATAGCTCTGATTTTGAAAGCTTCCCCAAAAGCTAGTCTTAGTGCCACCCCCCACAGAAGCTCTGTCCATATAGCAGACTTCCCCAAACATCATTTGCACACGTGCATGCACACACACACACCCCCATCTGTTTTCAGACCTAGACGTTTACATAGGCATCTGCTGTGATTAAAAAAGAGAATGTGGAGCTGTGCTACCTTTTTGCTCCTCCAAATCAGGAACAGGACCCCCATCTATTCATTTCATAGATCCATATTCAAGGCAGACTGTGGGACAGTCTCTGCTCTCATTCACTCATTCATTCATTCATTGCCAAACATGCCAAGTGCCATAGTAGGTGTTACAGAAAACAGTGACACGGTTCTTACCCTTGAGGGGCTCAGAGGCCAACAGAGGGAGATGGGAAGAAACTGATAATGACAGTGTCATGTGAAGAGCATGCAATCTGGGTAAACACGGGCTACGGGAGCCCAGAGGAGAGGCAGCTCATGACGGGGAGGGGGAGTCGGAGAGTGTTCCTCAGAGAAAGAGGCAGACCTCTGCCGAGTACCAAAGGATGCCAGGGAATTAGTCAGAATAAGATGAGGCTCTCCCAGCAGGGCAGAAAAAACAGCACATCCCCAAGAAAATGGAAAATCCACATCCACACAAAAACTTGTACACAGATGTTCAGAGCACCATTATCCATAATAGCCAAAAAGTGGAAACAACCCAAAATGTCCATCAACTGATGGATGAATAAAACGGGGTATTTCCACACAATGGAATATTATTCAGCCATAAAAAGGAATGAAGTACTGATACATCCTGCAGCACAGATGAACCTTGAAGGCATTGTGCTAAATGAAAGAAACCAGACGCAAAAGGACAAATATTGTATGATTCCATTTAAATGAAATGTCCAAAGGAGACAAAGCTTTGGAGATAGAAAGTAGATTAGTGGTTGCTTAAGGCTGGGGGGAATGTGAGGAATCGGGGGGTGACTGCTAATGGGTCCAGGGCTTCTGTTGGGGAAATGAAAATGCTCTAAAATTGATTGTGGGGATGGTTGCACAACTCTGGGAATATAATAAAAACCATTGACTTGTGCACTTTAAAAGGATGGATTTTATGGTAGGTGAAATACCAGGAGGAGGAGGGAGAGAGGGAGAGGGAGGAGAGGGACGGGATGGGGAGAGGGGACGGGGAGAGGAGGAACAGGACAAGCGGACAAGCAGAGGAATAAAATATCTTGACTAGGTCAGGGAGCTTGACGAGGCTCAAGCAGAGAGCGTGCGATGGGGCCTGGGAGAGAGGAGGCTGGCGAGTTAGCAGGGGCTGCCGGTTAGCAGAGGAGATAAGAACATTTCACATGTTAACTCTAAAGCACGTAGGATAAGAACCGCCATGTGAGAAATACAAACCAAGGAGCGTAGGAAAGAGTGGCAGAGAGATCGCTTTATGACCTCCAAGTTGGAAAAAGTCTGGGATGTTGACCTGTACGAACTGCACCAACAGGCTCCCTTGGCCTCTGGCTTCCTGCCGGGTCCAGTCAACAGAAGGCACTAATGTGACAGCGAGATCAGGGTATCTGTTCCCCCTCCTGCCGGCCGTAGGTGGGCCACAGCGCCTGCCGGCAGCTCTCTGGTTCAGCTCCAGGCCTCTCTCCAGGCTCCAGGCTCTATTCCCTCAACTTACCCCTTCAGGCCAAGTGGTTCCAGCTCCCCTCTGTTGCCAGCCCTGGGGTACTGCATTATCCCTCATTGGTTTCCTAAACCCCGCCCATACCTTTGTCATCTTTACTAAATTCTTCTCTGATTACTCAGTGTGGGGTACTCTCTGCCTCTTATTTGCATCCGGACCAATACATATGACTGCACAAAAGAGATGAGTCATGATCACATGGACCCCACCATCTACATTAGCTGACAGTCACAAGGATCCCAGTCTGCAACTTCAAACCTTCTGCTCTGACCTGCTTAGGTGGAGGCAAAAGACTTCTGCAGCCCGCCACCCCCCGACTCCCCTTCTATCTCATGAGAGCACCAGCACAGTAGGGCTTCTGCATCACTGTGTAGCCACCCTGTGTTTTCATGGAATACTGAATCAGGGTCATCCATCAACTCAACAGAGAAACACACTCGATTCAGTTTATGAAAACCAGCTTTTGTACACCCTAAAAATCTTACTTTGTTGGTTTCTGGTCATACGGATCTACAGAATGAAAATCATTGGAACTCTGCAGCATTACCTACAATGATTATGCTGCCTTAAACACAGGTATAAAAATGGAAGGATGGAGGGAGAGAAAGGAACCACATTTGTCAAGCACGTGCTATGTGCCACTGAGTGTGTTAACTTTGTGCTAAGCATTGTTCTCTGCTCTAGCTAAGGCCTGGTGCCTGCCTTCCACGTGCCTCAAGTCTGACTGGGGCAGACCTGACATGCCAGGCGCCAGTGCTGCAGAAGACCATTGTCCGCAGGTGTACTTATAGCCCAGAAGTCAGGATGCAGTTTCTCCCATCAGGAAAGCTTCAGAGAGGAAGCAGGATGTGAACTGGGTTTGGAAGATGTACATACATATTTTTTCAATATTTGGAAGAAGGAAGGAAGGATCGTTAAGGTGGGAAAGGCCCTGAGCAAGACGCAAGGGCAGTGACAAGTATGGCTCGAACAGGGGACCGTGATGAGCAGGGAACTGCATCTGCAAGTTGTGGGAATGGAGCTCGTGTGAATAGGTGAGTTGAATGCAGATGATGAAGGGAGAATAAAAACAGCATCAGGAAAGGGGGGGACTGTATTTTTAAAGCTGTGATCAACTGCATCCCTGAAAGGAATGGCATTTTCTTGCAAAACTGGGTAGGACCAGCAACTGATTTTCACTTTTCCCACCTGTAAATCATTGAGCCTATGACGAGTCTTTCTAAGGGTTTCCCAGGGCTGCTAAATGGATGAATTCCTGCGCCCACTCATGTATTGGTGACAGGTTGGTGTCCACAGTGAAAGATGAACACCAGAAGCGCCCCCTGCACAGCCAGGGGACACCATGTCACCAGGTCCCACCATCAGAGAGTGGGCATGTGCATACACTTTAGGGGCATCTTAAATTGGACACCCTAGGCTAGGGATCTAGCCCACAGAAGGGGTCACGTAAATGTGCTCCAGGATGTCCCTTCCAGCTTTATTTGTAATAGCAGCAGTTTGGAAACAACCCATGTGTCCATCGATAGGAGACTGGATTAATGAATTAACCTACATGCACATTAGAAAGAGGTGATCTATGGGGCCGGCCCAGTGGCGCAAGCGGTTAGGTGCGCGCGCTCAGGTGTGGCAGCCCCGGTTCACCGGTTCGGATCCCGGGCGCGCACCGACGCACCACTTGGCAAGCGATGCTGTGGCAGCGTCCCATATAAAGTGGAGGAAGATGGGCGCGGATGTTGGCCCAGGGCCAGTCTTCCTCAGCAAAAAAAGAGGAGGATTGGCAGATGTTAGCACAGGGCTGATCTTCCTCACAAAAAAAAAAAAAAGAGGTTAGATCTAAATGTGCTGAGACAGAAAGATGGCTATGAGTCTTCACTGAAAAGAGAAAATGGCCAAAGAGCACGATCTCAGATCTTTTTTCCTTTAATGAATATATATATATACACATGTACAGATATCTATATATCTACATCTATCTATATACCCATATAAAAAGGTGTAGCAAAGAGGCAAAATATTGTAATGGTTAAGGCACAGACTCTGGAGCCGGACACCTGAGTTGGAATCCTGATTTAGACACTTAAAAGCTGTGTGACCTTGGGCCAGTTATTAACCTCTCTGGGCCTCAGTGTCTCTACAAGGAAAAGGTGGGGAGTACTAGTGAATCTCACTGTGTTGATGTGAGGACCAAAAGTATTAACATTTGTGAGGCACAAAGTCCAGCACATAGTAAGGGCTGCATTTGTTGTTATTATTATTGTCATTGTTGTTATATACTCCAGCCTGAAAGTTACCCCAGGCGAGTGGCTTTGGGGATGGAGTACAAGAGCCCTTGCAGGGCTTTACTTTATATACTTGTATATCATTTATGTTTTTTTTCTTTTCTTTTCTTTTCTTTTTTTTTTTGCCAGGAGCAAGTAGTAAGTGTACAATTTAAAACTATTGTAAAAACATAAAGTCCACCACTCGCTATGAGCCACTGTCCTGCCCCTGGGATATTTTCCCTCAAACTTGGCTCATAAAGAACTTTCTCGAATGCTGACTCACAGCCAAGGCGCACAACTGAAGAATTCATGAAACGCCTTTAAAAATGTCCCTGTTTCTCCTCTGCACCCACAGTGAGGAGAGGCCAGGCGGGCAGAGGGGGAGAACATGAAATCTTGAGGCCCTGCCCCCTGGGCCGCTGTGCTGTCACCCTGTCTTGGGCACTGAGAGTGGAAAGCTGTGAACTCCAAGCCCCGCTGCAGGGTTAGATAAAGCGGGAGGCTCACCCCCTTTTTCCTCTATCTGAGAAGGGTTAGGACTCTGGGGTTCCCTCCTAAGAGGTCCCAATTTTTAATTTAAAAAAATACCATTTTTGCTCTTGGTATTTGCATACCTGATAAGTTACCAACTCAAACAGCAGAGGATATAGAAATGAAAGGTAAGCCCCCTTCACTGCACCCCTAAGCCTCCCCGAATATTTTCTGAGCACTTGCAGACACCGTGTCCCCCCCATCATTACATGCCCAGAGCCCAGCACAAGGCCCCACACACAGTAGGTGCTCAGTTCAACCTGTTTAACGACAGTGAATAATAGTGGCAACCAGGAGTGCTTAAGATTCCTGGGCACAAAGCTCTCCAGGCAGAATCTTCCTAGAGGGAAGAAGATTGCTCTGGTCTGTGTCATGGCTTAAATCTCCATCT